AGCCCATTTGATCATCAGCAAAGGGAGCAGGAGGAGACGCTCCCAGCTCTGATGGAGCTGGGGGTCTCGGAGGTTAATCTCAGCTCTGATGCTCTGCACGCCGCGGTTCCTCCCGGCAGAGAGCTGCCACTCATTATCTCGGCAGATCGCATCGGAGTACAGCAGTCCAACTACCAAAGCTCTTTCCCCGCCCGCAAACCCTCTGAACGTTTTCAAAGGCCCTGCAGCTCGCTGAAGTCCAATTACCAGCCCACTGGCTTTTCTTCCCAATTTCTCTCCTTGCATCCTCTCGCTCGCCAGCCTGTTTTATCTCCAAAACCGAGCACTGCCAAGGCTCCAGGAAGGAGCAGATAACCATTCAGGCAGGGCTTTCTTTTGGGAACAACCCCCCACTCCCCCCAGAGCTGTGTAGATCACCCCCAGTGCTTACATCTTGGTTGGACATGTCCCAGTAGGGCCTCTCCCCGAACGACATCACCTCCCACATGACGATGCCGTAGCTCCAGACATCGCTGGCCGAGGTGAACTTGCGGTAGGCGATGGCCTCCGGCGCTGTCCACCTGACAGGGATCTTCCCCCCCTACGGAAAAAGGGAGAGCAGCTGAGAAACGCCTGGCCACCTGCGAGCCAGGGCTGGAGCCATCCCGCACACCCGCAGCCACCAGTCCCCAGTGACCCCACTGAGGAGCTGGCAGGCAGTACCTGATGGGATGAGGCACCAAAACCACCTCCATGAATTTGTACCTGTGCAAAAGGGCTTAGCTAATCAAAACAGAAGGGTTTATCCAAGAGTTTATCCCACTCAGATGTCACCCCCCAGTGACACTTGCCCTGCAGGACTCAGCACAGTGGTGGCCTGTCCCCAGGTCCCTTCTCAGGGAGACACAAGGTGACACGGGCTACGCAGGACTGCACTAGCGCTCGTCTCAGGTAAGGAGCCACAGGTAACCCCGTCCCTTAGCCTTTGATGGAAACAAGGTCTAACCTAAGCGCACCCTCTGGGCATCATCTGGGCTCCCGCAGCTGCTGGAAGGTCCTTCCAGCCCCACTTTTGAAGTGGGAGGCAAAAAACAAAACACTTTTTAAGCCCCAAAGGAGACTTGGAAAGCACTGGAAAGCCTTTGGGAGAGTGCCCCTCATTTCTCCTAAAAGCTCAAAGTCAGGCTCAGTGCCTCAAAGCACCCCATCAAGTCAGGGCAGGTCCCAGCTCCTGGCAGGACAGGGAGGGCTGGAGGCCATGCTGAGGGGGCAGGGATGCTGCAGAGGGGCAGCACATACAGAGGGAGTGCTTCCTGGGCAAGCACCACTGAAGTAACAGCAAGAAAAGCCAAGGGATGACGGAAAACCACAGACATGCGTGGTATTTACTCCGTGCAGAACTGCATTGTAAATCGCTTAGGGTAATTGTTTTCCATAGCCTTTCCGACGAAGCGTCAGCTGCCCTTGAAGGATGAATGGCAAAAAATTTGATTTGAATAACTACAAATGGAGAAATTAACTGCTAGGTTGTTCTTCCTGCCTTTTCCCCAGAGCTAAAAACCTGCTGTGGGAGGCAGAGTGATGTAATCGCAGGCACAGCATCACTTCCCAGCTGCCGGGGAGATCTATTATGGCCTAAATTAAATAAAAACACAGATGAGATAATCTCTTTTATCTCTAAAGGCAGGGAAGGGCTACTTCATGCCTCATCCCAGCAGCTACTGCCAGGCTCTTTGGACAACAGCAGTAACTGATGGGTGCCTGCTCAAAGGTGGCTGTCTGCAGGATGGGTGTGGGCAGGGAGCCAGGCAGGTCCGGGGAGAGGGGAAGCATCCCATGAGCAGGGGAGGAAGAGCAAAGGGCTGCAGCTGGGGCCAAAACATGAAGCCATCCTCAAAGGCACTTCTGTGGGTTTCCCATCTTGGATGCTGGAGGCAGCCCCAGCGCCTGGGCCCAGCTTCTGCAGGAGTCGATGCAGCCTTGGGCTTGCACCCAACACATGCTCTTTTAATTAATCGATTAGATGAGGTCAATGGGTTGCTCATCCCCTTCTGCTCTCTTCATTCTCAACACCAATAAGGGTCTCACAAGCCCATCAGAGGATGGTTGTGATGGGGAGCCGGGGCTTCCCCTTGGGCAGCGGGGAGCAAGGGGAGAGTGGGGCTGCCATTACCTACAAATGAGTTAATTAAGGAGAAGGGTGGCTGGGGAACAGCAGAGCTCCCGTTAAGGCCTGTCTCTTTAATTAATGCCTGGAACAAGTTTCCAGCAGAGAAAGGCAGACCAGACCCGGAGCACTGGGGGAAGGGGAGTTAAATCACTCTCTGGGCTGTGGGGAGATGCAGTGATCTCCCCGCCTCCCCTTCTCAGTCTCTCCAGGGACTCCTCCGTGCACCTTCCCTCCACGGAGGAGAGGCTTATCTGGAAATTGCCAAGGGTGCTTGGGGGAGGAGGGCAGCAGAAAACTCATAAAAGAGAGGAAAAGAAAGGAGGAAAAAGAGAATGATGGGTGGGAACCACAGCCAGGGTCTCTGGGCCACAAGCCTACGTGGTGGGAACCCTCCTGAGATGCTCCCACCCTTGGTAGAAGCTCCGGGACGCACATCCAGTGCCCTTCTCCCAGGTTCAGCTGGCAGCAGATGCAAGGCAGGCATGGGGGATGCTGAGCAAGACAAAATCCGGAGAGAGGTACGCACCAAGGAGCTGGTGTAGGTAGGGTCGGACGTATCGTCCTGCAGGTAGCGCGAGAGGCCGAAGTCCGACACTTTGCAGACCAGGTTGCTGTTGACCAGGATGTTCCTGGCAGCCAGATCTCGGTGCACGTAATTCATCTCTGCAAGGTACTTCATGCCAGCGGCAATTCCTCTGAGCATCCCCACCAGCTGGATCACCGTGAACTGCCCGTCATTTTGCTGTGATAGGAAAGAGCAGGCACTGGGGTGAGCGTGCAGGCACCACCCGGGACCAGAGCTGCCCTCCCCATCCTTGGGAGGATGCTGCACCTCCCAAGAGGACTGCCCAGATAACTTGCTCTAACACACGTGTTTTGGGGTTCTACGGCACACTGCAACCACCTCCCGAGCTAAGGAAACAGACTGGGATTTACAAGATAGGATGCCAACACCTCGTTCCCAAATCCCACAGCTGAACAACAGCCCGCACAGCCCCACCTCGCCTTACCCGCAGGAATGAGTCCAGGGCCCCGTTCTCCATGAACTCGGTGATGATCATGACCGGTCGGCTTTTGGTCACCACCCCTTCCAGCCGAATGATGTTGGGGTGGTCGAACTGCCCCATGATGCTGGCCTCGCTCAGGAAATCCCGGCGCTGCTTCTCCGAGTAGCCAGCTTTGAGCGTTTTGATGGCCACGTAGATCTCCCGCTTGCCGGGCAACTTCAGGCGTCCTTTATACACTTCTCCAAACTCCCCTGCAAGTGCAAGAGCATCTGCTACCACCTCCTCCTCCACATAAAACATGGCAAAGGGTAACCTTGCTTGGTCTCCAAACCCACCAGCTGAGAAATGTCAGCTGGTTAACACTTCAGCAATGCTCTCTTCCCTAAAACTACTGGCCTGTTCTCTTTAAAACAGGGGCAATGTCTGTTGCTGAGGATTTGTTGGGGTTTATAACCTTCTCCAAGGTGACAAAGCCCGGCACCGGCAGAAGCGGAGGCTGAGACTGCACTTGCAAACCCCCGCAAGAAGGATTTGCAGAGCAAGAGCATCAACATTTAAGGACTACCTTGAATATAAGGTGTCAATGTTGATAATCTCAGTTGCCTTTTGGCACATCACTTATCTGGGAATGGAAAATAATTGGGCTGTTTTTATTGCTGCCCTCTGATTTAAAATACAGAGAAAGCATCCTCTTGTTTTCAGCAGCAGAGTTTTTCCTTCGCCAAGGCAAAATTTGCCTGTGGAGGGATTACACTTAAGCCAGGTCTGCAGCCACTTTGCCTTGATGAGCAGCAAAGGGCAGGTGACACATTGCTGAACTTGATCCTGACCAAACTAGCTCATTGCTTCTTTGCAGCTTCCCCCCAGCTTCTCTCCTTCTCTTCTACAAGTATGACACAGTTATTTAAAAATGCCAGTAATCTCAGCACAGGTGACATTCAGATACGTGCATGTGTGTATATATACATACTGTGTCCCCTTTTGGGCCCCTTGCTACAAGAAAGACACTGAGCTGCTGGAGTGTGTCCAGAGAAAGGAAGGGAGCTGGGAAAGGGTCTGGAGCACAAGTCCTGTGAGGAACAGCTGAGGGAGCTGGGGGTGTTCAGCCTGGAGGAGGCTCAGGGGAGACCTGATCGCTCTCTACAGCTCCCTGACAGGAGGGTGCAGAGAGGGGAGGGTCGGTCTCTTCTCCCAGGTGACAGGACAAGAGGAAATGGCCTCAAGGTGTGCCAGGGGAGGTTGAGATTGTATTTCAGTGAAATTCCTTCCTGGAAAGAGCTGTCAGGCATGGGAACTGGCTGTCCAGGGAGGTGCTGGCATCACCATCCCAGGAGGGATTTAAGGGACGCGTGGATGAGGTGCTGAGGGGCATGGTTTAGTGGTGAGCTTGGCAGTGTTGGGTTAATGGTTGGACTTGACGATCTTAAAGGTCTTTTCCAACCTAAAAGATTCTACAATTCTATGTATGGGACTATGGCACAGCCTAGAGTGAGATCTGCCTTTTTCTGGTTATCTCATGGAAAAGCCAACCAGGAAACCCCAAGAGGCACCACGGTCACCCAGCAAATATGTTCATGGAGCTTTCCCCACCTCAAGTCAGAAACCAACCTCGTGCCCCCACTAATCCATCACAAACCTAGAAAAGCCTGACATCTTGAAGCTTTCTTGAGGGTTCCCCAGTAACGGACCATGTGTGCACCCCAGCAAATTGCCCCAGATGGATGTGTGGCCATGCAGAAGCAGCACAGAGGGCAGAGAGGGATGGGTGGCAAGGGACAGTGGCACCCACCTGCTCCAATGACCTCTTCAATCTTCACAAAGGACACATCAATCTCCTTGGCGAACTCTCGGACAGCCTCGTTGGGGTCCTCATAAGTGAAGGGGTCAATGTAGATCTTCATCCCTGGAGACCCTTGTTGCAGGAAATACGGGAGCAACAGCAAAAGGGAGAGAAAACCAAGAGCAGTTGTGCCATGGCCAAGGACTGGAGACCCTCGTGTCCTCATGCCCTCCATTAAAACAGAGTCCACACTCCCTCCATAAGAGCTTATTGTCCTCTTTGATTCCCCCGCTCCACGCGACCCTCCCCTGCATCCCCTCCTCCCCCTCTCTGCCCTCCGCTTCCCCGCTGTTATCCTTCCTCCTCCTCCTCCCCGGTGAAGGGGAGCAGTTACAGACCTGGACTACAATTAGCTGTCTTTACGGCGAGGGCTTTACGAGGCCACAAGCATTAGTGAAATATTTATTTACCCAAAAAGCCCTCTGATAGTTTTGTGGCCACTACTAAATTGACAGAGTGCAGCAATTATAATCAACAACCTGTACGGAGCCATAAAAACACGGCTTTGCTGGCCTCCGTGAGAAGCGTGCGGCCCCTTGCATGGGGAAAACGCACGGCAGCAGGATCCGGCCACACGGCAGGGAGGTGCAAGCACGCAGGCCTTGCTCCTTTCAGATGGGAGAAAAACCAAAACAGGCCCCCAAATCCCTCAAATGGTGTTTGCAGACATCATGTTTGGACACCCTGGGGCTTACAGAGCTGCCAGGGGGCACGGCCATGGGCCAGAGTGCAGCCACCTCCGTCCCCAGGGCTCAGTGGGGCACTGGTGTTATACTGCGGTCCCCACAGGTGACCCAGAGAGGGCTGCGGTGCCCCTCAGGGGGTTCAGCCTCCCATGACATTTCTCACGCAAAAAGGGGACTGGGGATGGCAACAGTCCCCTCAAGGTCATCGCTGGAGGAGACCGGGTGAGACTTCGCTGCACTGTCCTCCTTCCCAGGACACCTCAGTGTCACGGTGATCAAAGGCATTTGATTAGGCTGTTAAGGACCTCACCAAGGGCCATGATGCTGTTGCGCTGGCACTTCCTGGGGCCTTTCAAGAGCCGACACGCAGACGACTGCATGGACCACAGCATCACCTCTGCGCGGCTCCGCGCTGGGAATCTAAATCGGCTCCTGGCTGCTTTGCAAGTAATTCAGGAGGAGGCACAAAAGCCTCACAGTGGGGCACTGCCGGTGCAAAACAGCCGGCGAGGGAGAACCGCTTGCGGGACCCCCAGGACTCGGGAGGGACCAGGCAGGAGCATCCTCGTCCCCAAAAGGGGCATTTGGGGCAAAAGCTCTGCGCCTCAGAGGCGGGCGGGGAAGGCTGCAATGAAGCCATCTGTGCATCTCCCAGTTCATAAATCCCTTTACGGCTCTGTCTCATACACTTTAACTGCCCCATAAATTTTTTTACAAGAGCAGCTGATGCTCCAGCCAGGATTACAAAGGGATTTACAGGATCGTAACCAAGACTGACTCACTGATCAAAATATTGAAGAAATAAAGGAGACAATAACACCAAAGCTTCCCGCAGACTGTCAACACAGGCTGGTTTTCAAACACCCCCTGATGTGCCCCATGGTCTGCCCACAGGCTCAGCAAACACCAAGCATCCCATCCGAATGGGAATCCAAGTGGGATTAGGGCACCTAAACCCATTACTCATCTCTGCAAACCTCAGCCACCGGCTCGTCATCGCCAGGCCGCCAAAAGCTGGGCGAAATGCCGGGTACCGGAGCGCTGCATCAAAGGCAACCCATGCTGAGCCTGCCTGTAAAGAGAGCTTTTCTCTCTTAAAATTGCCCCGGTACTCCTATAAACAGGATTAGGCCATTTATCACTACTGCAGACAACAGCAAATTATCACTCCTCAAAAGCTGAAGTGGTCTGTGCTGCAACCCTGACTCCGGCAGTAGGTTCCTCCTGACATCGTTTTACCTGGGGAGTAAATATCATCGGGAGAGGGAAAAACCCTGCTGAATCACCACCGCTTCAACAGGGCTTTCCCTGCTTCCCCGGTCTAAAAGCTCGTGGCGAAGCAGCGGCAGAGATAAAGCAGGAGAAATGACAACCTGAGGGACCCCATCTCACCCCCAAACCCACGCAGGGAAGCCCTTGCCAGCAGCAGGCAGCCAGCGATTCCTGAGGGGCTCCCGGCGGGGACGGCGGAGCTGTGCCGGGGAGGCTGTAATTGCTGCGCTGCCGAACACGGGGGTGATTTGTTCCGGCGGATGCACGCGTTCCTCTATTAGTTGCTCGCCACAAATTTCCCACCTGTTTTGCTCGAGCATCTGCAGTAGCGGAGCGCCTGGAGGCTCGCTAACCTTGAAAGGGCTTTGCTGCGCAGCCGGGAACCCCGGCACGCCCGGCTCTCGGGCACCGAACCGCGCATCGCCCAGCTTTACGCACTAAACACAGACACACGCTTCACTGCCTTCCTACCTGGTTTGGAGCACCCTGGGTGCTTGGAGCGAGCTAGGCATGTATGCGGGGTGGGGCATGTTACAAAACAGGAGGAAAACAGGAAAAATAAGTCCACCTGCAGCCCAACACAGGTTCAGCCATCAGACATCAAATATATCTTCTTTCAGCACTCACAGTGCAGAAACCCAAAGAAAAGAGGGAGGAAAAGCACAGGTCCATCGTATTTAATGGTGATGTTTGGAAAACAGCTTATTGTTTGCTAGGAGGTGTAGGGCCTCTCACAGCACCCCCATCACGTTCGGCTTGGTATGAAGTTGAGAGGTCAAAAGAGATCTGGCGTGCTGTGCCAGCTTGGCTGGGATCTCCTCCCGGCCTTCAAACCCTTTCCTTCCCATCAGCCCTCCTGCTTTTCTCTGCCAGGCTGATCACCCCATCTCTATCCCTCCCCTCTGCTCACCCATCCTGCTCCCTGCCTTCCCCAGCCATCCTGCACCCAGCCCTGCATCCCGCTGCCATCCCTTTTCCCCAAGCAGCTGCCCAGGACCCAGGGATGGTGTCCATCCACAAGGCAGCAAAATGCACCTGGGAGGCATCTCTAGGAGATTGCAAAATGGGATTTATGTCCTGTGGGGATGAGGCACAGAGCCTGTGGGCAGCAGGAGGTAATTCTTAACCCCCTGGAGCTGCTGCTTTGCTGCTTTATTTCCAGCTGCTTTGCCCAGAGCTGGAGGAGCACCTGAGCACACCTTATCCTCAACAAACACCTCAAATTTATTCTGGAGTCTTAGGAAAAGGCCCGCCAAGCTCAGGCCCTCCTAGTTGTTTGCCAAGGGGATCCAGGAACCCACAGCCAGTCAAACCTTCCCAGTCACTAGCCGCACATCCTCCCCAGAGCAGGGTGCAGGGCAAGCATCAACAACATAGCTAGAACAGCAGCTATGCCAGCCACCAGCCCCAGCTCCCTGGCCACTCTCCCAAAATCCAGAGTCCCTTTAGTGGTAAGAGCAGCCCAGCATCAATCCTGGCTTGGGCAGAGCCTGTGGCAGGAGATCAGGAGCTCATACACACACTGCCTCTCTCCTTCCCTTCTTCCTTCAGGAGTCTTCACAGCACCCTCTCCCCATGCCTGGTCCCCTACATTCCCCCTGCCCCTCCAAATCCACCCCCATCCCACAAATCCCCCTGTTGCTCTTCTTTTCCCATTCACAATGTTGCACCACTGCAAACCGCCCCCTCTCCAGCCCCCCCAACACCCTGACACACTGCTATGGACATCTCTACTCTCACTCTATGGTCATCTCCATCTGCCCCATAGGGCTTCCATCCCCCCGCCATGCACACCTGAAGGTGGAGGCGTGGGACACACACCAGCTGCAGGTTTAGGAGTGTTTCCCCTGCCCATTTTCCCACTCACCTCGCCCGGTGCTGTAGTGCTGTAATTTGTCGCTGTACACCGCCTCCTTGCTGTAGGCACGCTTCCTGGGAGAAGAGGGGAGACAACAGCCAAGTTTGAGGAACCAGTGGCTGGCAACAGCCCCACACCACTCCCCCGCCAGCAACACTCAACAAGCAGTGACAGATCAGTGCTATTTCCAGCTACAGGGGTCCCCCATCCCTCCCCTCCTACCCCAAATCTCTCCCAGCTACATCTTACCACCTCCACCTTCCAGGGACACAGCATCCCACGTGGACTCACCTGCTGCAGACGATGGAAATGGCCACCAGCGAGACGATGAAGACCACCCCAGCCGCTGCAGACCCTGCGATCAAAGGCAGCTGCTCTCTCAGCTCCGACTTGTAGTCATCTGCAAGAGAAGAGAGACGGGGTAAACTCTCCCTTGCATGCTCATGGGGTGAGAGCAGCCTCCTGGGAAGGGGTCCCACAACACCCCTGGCATGGGGTGCTGCTCCCACAGGAGGGTGGGGGGACAAGGGGGATCCAGGCAGGAGCATTGAGTGAGGCAGGTGCTGAGTTGCACAGGGAAGGATTGTCACACTTGGCTCCCACATACTTTGGGTAAAAAATATGGACAAGAAGGTCCTGGGAATGAAGTCAAACTCATGTGCATGGGCCCAGTTTCCCAATGAGATGAGGTTCACAAGTTGGTTTTGTCCATGCCTCTGGGGTTTCTCCTCCCTCGATAAATTTAAACCTGTTGGCCATTTTGACCAAATTTAACAGGGGCCTCACAGCCACATAATTCCTCCAAGTCACGGGAAAGGAGAAATAGGAAAGACCCCATTAATAACTAAACTAGGCGGGGAAAGCTGTGCCAGGAGTTCACCTATATTGGACACTGGAGAGTGCCTCATGCAACAGTTAACCTCAAGAGAGAGGCCGAGGAGAACACGAGAGCCTTCGCTGCAGTTCTGCTTGCAGGTTTTTACATCTCGACAGATGGCATGAGCCGACTCCTTTGGCAGAGCCACAGCAACCACAGCATCCCTTCCACACTGAGCATCCCTCAAACCCCCTGTGTCCTTCAGCAGCAGGCTGGGGTGAAAGCCAAAGTGGCCCAGAGAGGACTGGATATGCCTGGAGGAACCCCAAGAAAGCCACCTGCAACCTCCATGTGTGTCCCCCCATTTCCCCCTCCTCCTGCCCTGCCCCATTAGCAGTGTGGGTACCTGCAGCGGGCAGTATCTGGCAGACTCCATGCTCCTGGGGACTTCTGCAGCCCTCCAGAAACTCTCCCCTCCCATCCGTGCCCAGCAAGGTCTGCCAGGCTGTGCCAGCAGCCACAAGCAAGGGTTAAAATAAAATTCACTCCAAAAGAAAGCATTTAGCACAATTTTATCTGTATTTTTCTACTCTGCGGTTAATTACTAGCTACTAGATTTATCTCTTGCACGCCGCTTAAATCCTGAGAAATTCTCATCTAACAATCAATTATTATTTAATAATCTAGACTATCCATTCTTATTAAATTTCAATTAATTGCTTATTTGAGGCAGGAGTTTTCTTCTCACTTCTCTAAGCCTGAATATTGGAGGCATTGGGGGGGATATTACCATTTCCTTCCCTTTGGTCACCCTGTCTGGTTTTCCTCTTCCCTCTCCGGCCAGTGCTTAACACGAGCGCAAGCATGGCATGACCCATTTTCAGGAAAGAAGGATAGTTTTAGGAAAGAAAGCCAGGGGGCTGGGGCCCAAGGGTGTCACCTAAGTGGATCAGGGACCGTGCTGGCAAAGGCAAGGAAGGGGGTCCTTGCAGGGACTTCAGCTCCCCTCAGGGTCTGGAGGGGTGGGAGGACAATAAAAGGAGCCGTGCGTCATTCACCGACTTCTAGGTTTGTCCCAAAGCTGGGATGAATGACAAACCCGCCCCTGAGTTATTAGTGTCCAAAGGGATTTAGCATTTGTGGGTGCAGGGAAGGGCTGCGGCCGGAACGACAGCACCACTCTGGTGAGGAGGCCAGAAGAGGCCGTGAAGATTGTGAGCTGGCCATTTCCCTTCGACAGGCCACCTCAGGGTGGAGAATCGGCATTTGGAGATGCGTCTGACCCTTCCAGCTTTGCCTTGACGGCTCAGATGCGGCTCTGAGCATCCCAGGAAAGCATCCCAGGGTCTACAACCCCCCACACCTCCCTCTCCTGCGGAGCTGGACTCACAGCCCGCAGCAGGGGGGCCCTGCCATCACGGCCAGAGGCAGGGAAGACAAAACCGCAGCTACGTAGCAGAGGAGAAAACAGAGCTAAGAGATTTAAAGCAGATTACTCCTCCAGCTGGAGATTAATAAGGCATCGCTGTAAATCACCTGGCTTTTGCCACGTTGCCCGCTGGGAAAGAGGTTTGCGGAGACGAGTTTGTGTAATCCAATTAGAGCTCGAAGCTGTCACTGGGAAGTCAACCACCCCCCCAGCCTCCCCGTCCCCTCCTTCCCGGACTCACCGTCCGTCAGTGTCTGGAAGCACATCTTCCCGCTGTACTTGCCGTAGCCGGCCACGGTGCGGGCTCGGACCTGCACCACGTACACCATGCCGGGTCGCAGCCCCTCGATCCTGGCCGTGTTGGTCTGGCTGCGGGCCATGGAAGAGTTGTACTCGTTGTGGTCCTGCAGGCACGGCCGAGAGAGACGGCTCAGCGGCGACGGGCACGTGGACAGCAAAGGGGAGGGATGCCCATCCCGCTGATGGCAGGGATGAGGTTTATCACAGGGGGATAAAGCAGTGGCCCTGGTTCTGCTCCAGGAGAACAAGTACCAGAGCCTGGGCAAGGTTACTGGGGTCCTCCTGGTTGCCCTCAACCCCTGACACAGAGGATCCCAGAGGAACAGGACCCATGAGCTTTCCTGGGAGGTCCCTGTGGCATGTGCCTCCCCGGCAGCCCCCTGGTCTCACCACAGCAAAGAGCAGAGAGCAGCGGGGGGAAACAATAAGAGCATCCAGAGCAAAAACACTCATGAGCAGCAAATCTCTCCTCTTCCATGTCCCTGCACATTTCAGAAACATCTCGCAGCTACAGAAAGACCATAACACACCCTACAAGACCCCACACAAGCAGATCCATGGGCAACTTGCCTCTGGTGAGAGCCCCAGCCCCTGCAGTCCCTGCTCTGCTGGCACAGGTCCTTCAGCTAAACCTCGGTGGAAACCTTATGTGCCTCAAGTCTCATTTTTTTGCAACGCTCCCCAGTGATTTGCTGTAAAGGGGCCGCTGGTGAGATCATCTAATTATTCACATTTAGAGGAATTCATTAAAGCTGGCAAGACAGGGGAGGGATGGAACAGCTTGGGCTCGGCACGGTTCGCTGCAAGGGTACCCTGCAGGGAAGGACGGCTGCCAGTGAAAGGACCTGGCAGGAGGCACTGACCCGGGACAGGGACAACCCTGATACCCTTTGCCAGTACTCATCATCCCCTTCCTTTCCTCCTGACACTGTCCCCATGCTCCAGGTCCCTGCTCACCCTAGACAGCAGCCAAGGCAGCAACAAGCACCAATGTGCTGGAGAAAACACTGCTCATGGGGGAGGAATTGACATCTGCAGCTGCAGCATCCCTTCCCTTCTGCTGGTTGCACGTCGCTCCCACCCCCTGGAGTCAAGGCGGGTGACCAGGTGCCCATCCCATAGCCTGTCCCACCACCTGGACCCTTCCCAGCAAAGAGCCTGACTCAAAGCTTGTTCATGTTCCCCCTCTCCCAGCAAGCTCAGGACCTGAGCAGCCTCCCGGCAGCGCCATACAAATCTCCACATGCCCCCATCCCACCCTCCGTCATGAGGTTTCCACCCCAGCTTACCGCCGCTGGCCTGGAGCCCACGGTGCTGCCGACATCGGGCGTGCAGATGCGGCTCACCTTCTCGTAGTAGCGGATCTCGTAGTCCAGGATGATGCCGTTGGGCTGCTCAGGCTGAGGCCAGGAGAGCGTGATGCTCCTCATCGTGGCACTCACCTGGTGCATGATGGGGACGGTGGAGGGTGCTGCCGAGGAAGCAGGAAGGGAGGGAAAATTAATGGAGAGGGGTAGGAGCGACGGCCCTGGGGAGGGGGAACATCTCCTGGGCACGTGGAGCATCCCGAATCTCCCATGCCTGCAGCTGTTTGCCCCATGGGACCATCACTCATCAGCAGTGGGAAGAGCAGCATCTCAGCAGCTTACATGGAGCCAGAGCAGCAAGCCAGCGAGGGAATTCGGGTATTTAAACCAATTATTCCTTTTAATTAGGAGCTTAGAAATCCTCGGTGTTCCTTCTCCCTGGGATTGCTTGTTCCAAGGATGTCTCCCACAGAGGGGCCAAGACAGCAAAACTTTCCCCAGCAGAGACAAAGCCAGGCTCGGTGACGGTCCCCAGCTCTCCTTGCCATCTTTTGCCATGACAGCCTCACTAGGGAGTCAGCACCACAGGGGCCTGGGCCATGGCTGTGACCCCCTGTGCTGTCAGCGTAGGAGCAAAAATCTGCCCACTCTGAGGATGATGACAGGGAACCAGAGCAGGGGCATCCCAGCCCAGCAAGGGAACCCCAAGATGCTGGAGCCTGTAGCACGGCTTCGGCTCAGCTCTGGCCCAGAGGAGCTGCTTGGATGCGCTCTTAGAGGGTCTCTGGGGATGCTCATCCTCAGCACCCAAACATGCTTCTCCAGGGAGTTTCATTTCCGAAGCTCAAACACCTGCAGAACAGTCTCAAACCATCCTCCAGCTCCTCCCCTCCAGGCCATGGCACAAGGGTGCTCGAAAGGCAGCGCCTCCATCCCTTTTCCCAAAGAAAGCAAGATGCTCGTCACTGGCCAAGCACGCAGCCAATGTCAGGTGTGAGCCCGGCATGGTTTATCCAACCCCCTTCCCTCCCTGCCACGCATTTCTTGATTAGAAAGGATTTTCTTGCCGGCCACACCACGTTGCTCTGCAAAGCTGCCCACAATACTTCAGTTCACACACGGCACTGGAGCTAAGCATGCAATTTTCCTAAAATAGATGCCAGGCACATTGTCCCTGCTGCCACTGCTCCCTGCCCTGCTCTCCACATGCACCGGAGCCATCCTGGAGCTATTCTGTGCCTGCCAGGGAGCTGAGCATCCTGGGAGCCAACCAGCTGCGGAGCTGAGCATCCCCAGCAGCAGCCACACCATCCTTCACCATCAAGGACATCAAGCCACTAAATTAGCCAAAAGCCACTTTTCCAAAGGCTTTTTGCCCTCTAAGTTATATTTGAAAGGACCAGAGCCAGCCAATACAGTCCTGATCATGAACTTCATCCTCCCAAAAGCCTCCAAGAAAGGTACCCAAGTCTCTCCGCACCCAAAGCAGCACTGGCGTGACCTGCTCGCGAGGTCAGCTCCTTATCCAGTCGAATCGGCACTGGGCAGGGAAAATGCTTCCTCCCATGGATCCAGGGCAGAGCTGAGCTCAGCACAATGGGCTCAGGGCACAGGATAGTGCCGCAGAGGGAATCTGGGGGCGACGGAAGCCCAGCTCTGCACAGCTACACTGGGAGATGTCAACTGTCCGTCATCTCCTTTGTTTACCCAGCGTACTTAATCCCGTGTGGGGTTTTTTTAATCTCTCCACATCCACTCCAAGAAGATGCTCGTGGGCTGAAATTAAACACTTAGCTTGATTGCTGTTTTGTTAATTGCTGCGTTCCCCACCCCGTTAGCACA